CCCTGTAATGCTGAAAGCAGGGATCTCAGCGCAGCACCACAGGGACAATGATTTTTGTGGATCTGTGGAAAGCCAACAACAGGGTTTGTGTCCATCCCCCTAGAGATGGCCTGCAAGGATTGGAGAGTTGGGCGGAAAGGAACCTGAGGAGATTCAACAAGAGGAAGTGCAGAGTCCTTCAGCTGGAGAGGAACAACCCCAGGCACCAGGACAGGTTGGGGGCTGACCTGCTGGAGAGGAGCTCTGTGGAGAAGGACCTGGGTGTGCTGGTGGACAGCCATGAGTCAGCAATGTGGCCAAGAAGGCCAACAGTCTCCTGAGGTGCATCAAAAAGAGCGTGGCCAGCAGGTCGAGGGAGGTTCTACTTCCCCTCTACTCTGCCCTGCTGAGGCCAGTGACAGAACAAGAGGAAACGGCCTCAAGTTGCTCAGGGGAGGTTCAGATTGGATCTGAGGAGAAACTCCTTCACCCCAAGGTTGTCAGGCATTGGAACAGGCTGCCCAGGGAGGTGGTGGAGTCACCTTCCCTGGTGGGATTGAACAGACGGGCAGACGAGGTGCTCAGGGACATGGGTTAGAGGTGGGATTGGCAGTGTTGGGGTCGTGGTTGGACTCAATGATCTTAAAGATCTTTCCCAACCAAAATAATTCCATGATTTTCCAAGCACTCAATGTTGTTTTTTCTGGAGGGCTTTTGGGTTGCAGAGCATCAGTTCCTGAGCTGCCTCTCAGCTGCTCGCTCCTGTTGGACACAGTAATACACAAACCACTTTTTGTGGCGTGTAAAAGCCATTTAACACCCTGTGCCACCATCTGGAAAACTAACCCGTTGTCTTCCCAAACAGAACTTCACCACTTCACTGAAGATGTCTGGCAAGACAGCTAGCACAACCAACAACATAGCCCAGGCCCGGAGGACTGTCCAGCAGTTAAGAATAGAAGCCTCAATAGAAAGAATAAAGGTGAGCACACCTCTTATTTTCTTTCCTGCTTTCCCCCCTCCCAGCTACAGGGTGATAAGATATCAGAGTGTGTCTGTGCCCATGGTTTGTGTTTCCCCTTCTTCCAACACGACATTTACATTTCAGCCCAACTAACCTGCATAAAACAATTCTCGTGGCCGCTCACCGCGGTGTCCTCGGTGCTTTGTGGACTCGTGGGAGAACCAAAGCAAAATACAAAGTGCAGTGTGTGAAACTGAAGGCAGGGACATGTTTCCAGTGTCACACATATTCATTGTCTTCTCAAATTATTTTATGTTTATGTTTTTTCCATCCTCTGGCTGGCCCAATCCTACATCTGTGAGGAAGGTGAATGTGGAGGGACATTATTATAAAAAAGAAGGTTGCAGAAACTGGATTCCTTTAACTTCAGAGAGACAAGAAACCCAGCTTGTTCCCAGCTAGCAGGGAGGGGGTGTTGGCTACACTGGTAATATCACCTTCTTGGGTTCTGTTGGGCTGCTTGGGTTGGTGCCCAGCCCCTTCTGAAGACCAGCAGAAGAAATGTCCCAATGCAGGGAGCAGGAGCAGGGCCATGTGGGGAGGGACCCTGCCCAGCAGTCTCCAAACAGTGACTTATCTGAGCATGCTTCTGTTTACTGTCCTCACCAGAATCACAGACTGGTTTGGGTGGGAATGGACCTTTCAGGGACATCCAGTCCAACATGATGAGCAGTGAGCAGGGACATCTTCAACCAGATCAGGTTGCTCAGAGCCCCGTCCAACCTGACCTGGAATGTTTCCAGGGATGGGTCTTGAGAAGTTCCTCATCACAAACCTACTAATCCTATTTTGAACCTTCTCCTGTTGATTTTTAGTCTCTGTAGAAGCCGTGTAGGAGCTGAGTGGTGCTTTTGCCTGGTGTCACAAACTAACCCCAAGTACTGGAAGAGCACCAGGGTCTGTCCTTTTCTCCCTGCTGCCGATGAAGCCAGAACCAGCCTGTGGCAGTGTCTCTTTCTCAGGAGGTCCTGGAGAGCACGTTGATCTCCAAGCACCTCTCCCACCCCACACCGATTTGTATCCATGGGCAGCTCTCAGCACATTTGATCATGTTGGGGCCTGCAAGAAAGCTGGGGAAGGACTTTTCATAAGGGCAGTTAATGGCAAAACAAGGGGAAATGGGTTTAAGCTGAAAGAGGGGAGGTTTAGATGAGATATTAGGAAGAAGTTCTTCACTGTGAGGGTGGTGAGACAGTGTCCCAGGTTGGCCAGAGAAGCTGTGGCTGCTCCTCCCTGGAAGTGTTGAAGGCCAGGTTGGATGAGGCTTTGAGCAACCTGGTCTAGTGGAAGGTGTCCCTGCTGCTGGCAGGGGGGTTGGAACTGGATGAGCTTTGAGGTCCCTTCCCACCCAAACCATTCTATGATTCATTCTATGATTCTATGTTGCCACTTATGGAGAAATAGAATTTCATGGGTTGTTTTGGTTTGGTTTGTTTTTTCCGTGTCTTCTGCAGGTGTCAAAAGCATCAGCAGACCTCATGCTCTACTGCGAAGAACACGCCAAGAAGGATCCTTTGCTCATGG